ACCAACTTCTTCCTGTGTTCCTTCTTCACCTTCACTGTGAGACGCTTCACTTTCTACATCAGAGTCTTCACTTGCCTCTGATTCAGATAAATCACTAGACTCAATCGCTACGTCGAATTCTTCTTCGTCTTCACTATGAACATCAACAGGTACTTCCCGTCTCCTAAAACGTCGTTTAAGCATTTTTTACAATACTTACTAAATCGAAGTAAGTATATATTCGAGGTAATTTAAGTCAATGAACTGGTTTTAACAAACTCAAAAAAAAGAGCTTTCTGTTTTCTTTTGTCCTAGCATATAAGATCTCAGAGACGGCGATCTGGTCATATGACTGATCGGACCGGATCGATTATGAGTCCGGATGTTCAAGAAACCATCGACTCATCCATCAAGCGGTCCTTTCACTTCGATAAATTAGTATTTTTATGTAAACAAAAATTGTAATTGAAAGGTATTTAATAAAATATAAGTCAACAAAATATGTAAGTCAAAGATATGATGCATTTCATTTATACTCAGTCATTTTTATAATAAATCAACCAAATTCATGATTTACCATAATTTATCACTCTTTGTCATATCGCATCTTTTGATTGGATAGATCGATAATCAAACAAGAATTCGTACAAGTTATCTTACACAAAAGATTTATTAAGCTTTGAACTTTTCAAATATTCATTCCTTTCTGATTTTAAAGTTATAATCAATAAAATTTAATTTGCAATAAAATTTAAAATAAAAATATATATATATAACCAGCTTTTTCTATTATTTTTGATAAAATTCTTAATCATTTCAAATTAACTTTGTTTTAATTATTAATAATTTATACAGTCTTTGAATGTTTTATAATAAATAGTAAAAAATATAATCAGTTTTTAACTAATAAATTATCATTTATGAATTTGTATTACTTTATAAAAACTAACATTAATAAATATTCTTTTAGTAATTTTTATATTTATATTTTTATCTAATCTTTAACAATATTAAAATATTATTATTTTTATTATATTTTATAAAAAGTATTTTTTTATAAATTCAATTTTTAATATTGTAACTTTTTATAAAATCTTTTAAATGTTCAATTAGTCTTTATTTTTATTATTTAAAATTTCTAAAAATTTAATTAGCTATTTTGAAAAAAATATTATACAATATGAAACCTCTATAATAGGAACAAAAAAATATTAATAAAATTTAATTCAATGATTGAAATTTAATCAAATAAAAAAAATTGATTTATATTTGTAAAAATGAATTGATTTGTAAAAAGGGTTTTTTTTTCAATTTTATAAATTATGTAAGCCTTGTATAACATATATATAAAAATTAGAATTCAAAAATTATATAAATAATTTATTTTTTTTTATTTTATTATTTTATTATAAATTATGTCAGGTATATAACAATAAAACTTATATATTTAGCTGCAAACTATACCATTTTTCTAGTAATACCTTTTCTACAAATATCTGTATATTATTATGATTTTTATACATATTTTCAAATTGTAACTAAAGGAATTGAATTTAATGCTTTAGAAACAATTTGTTGTAATCAAATCCATATATAATTATAATATTCTTGTATATATCTTTTATTGTATTTTAATACATTTATATATATTTAATTTATAATAATATTTAAGATAAAATATACATTTGTAATTATGCTTTTCAATTTCCTTTTAAAGTTGAGATTTTTGTACCAATGATAAAAAAAATCATTCTTATAAATTCATCATTATTTATTTTTTTTCAATTTAGTTTTTATAATTAATATAGATAAATTTAATCTGATATAACTTTATCAATATTGAAAATATTAAAATTCTAATCCAAAATTCTTAAAATACAAGTTATGATTTATTTATTTTATAGATTAAATTTTCAATTTTATATATAATAAAATATTTTTTTGCATTTAAAATTTATTTTATTTTTATTATAGCAAATTTTCTATTATAAAGATTCTGCACTATAATTATAATTTGTTATAAATAAATAATATTATTATTTATATTATTTATAATAAAATATAAAAGCAAGTTTAGAAAAAAGAAACAAATTAACATTTTTTATAAATTTGAAATAAATAAGAATTTTATGTTTTTTTATTGTTAAATTTAAAAATTAGCATTAATTACCAATTATTAATTTTATGTTGATTAAAGAATAAAATTATTTTAAAAAATAATGTAAAAATTAAATTAAATATTTAAGATTATAATAAAATACTTTTATATTAATTTTCTTATTTTTTGTTAAATTTATAATAAAATTCTAATATAATAACTTTGAATTTTTTTTTGCAAATTTTAAGCAATAAAAAAAAAAAAAAAAAAAATTAGAAATTTTACATATATTATTTCCTTTTATTTATTTTTATTTAAAAATTGATTGTAATATATTTACTAATTACTTTAGAATTTATAATTAATTTAATTAAATAAACTTTAAATTCTAAATTATATGAATTGATTTAATAGTTATAAGATAATAAGAATTTCCTAAAATTATAAATTTTAATAATTAAAATCAATTATTGCAATTTTATAACTTAGATATTTAAATTATAAAAAATAAATTTAATAATATTATGATAAATTTAGTTATAATACAATAAATTAAAATTAGTTTTTTAATTGAAATTTAATATAAAATCTAAAGATTATTTTTAAATAATTAATTATTTAAGTTATTTATTTATATAAAAAAATATTATAATATTCTTAATAGTTTAAAAATCATTATTAAATCTAAAATATAAATATAATAAAAAGATTTGATCACATATTAACTTAAATTTTAAGCAAATAGATATTAAAACATTTTTTCATAATACATAATCCTTTATAATAACAAATATAACAAATTTAATTAAATTTAAAATTAGTTATAAAGTATTATAAGATTATAATAACATTTTATTATATTAATAGTTTTTTTTTATTAAATTTTTTTAGCTAAATTTATATTTATTTATAATAAAAATAAATTATTTTTACATATTAATTTGATTTTTTATTTTAATATTTCACCTTATATATCTTATACAAATAATATTTAAATTTCAACTAAATATTAAGAATAAATTTTTCATTAGCTAATAAGATAAAAATTATATTTTATTTATTTAATATTATATTATTTTTTATTACTGTATCCTTTTGATTTTAAGCACCACCCCAACTTTTAGTACAAAAACTTGAAAAACAAAAATAAGCATCACCCAAATTTGAAAAAATTTTATTATATTTTATATTTTATTTCAAAATAAAATTTTATTTTACAATTCATCATCATCTTCTAATTCATCTAATTTATCAGCCGAATCACTATCTATATCTATAACTTCTCTTTCATTTTTATCAATTTCCTTCTCTTTTTCATCTTGCCCAAACAAATCGTCTTCTGATCCATCTATTGCGTTACTAATACTGCATTTTTTAAATGATTTTACAATTATTTCCTTTAAATTTCCGCCTATGCCTCAAGTATTCATTTACAAATAATATTATATTCAGGCTTTCTTAAATTTTCACTTTTAGTATAAAAAAATTGACCTGAACTCATCCAAATATTCCACTTTTCACGAAGTCTATCTTTAAATAGCTTATTAAGACAAATATCAAACGGTTGAACAATAAAAGTGAGACCACTAGGAATGATTGCCAAATCAGTATTTTCATTGAATGCAATTTTTTTTATAGCATTCGTCTTATGACCTTCAAAACTATTTATAACAAGAAGGGATCTTTGTTTATTAATTCTATTTCCTCCTGGTCTTTTTCTCTAAACCTTATCAAACTAGGTTTTCATTTCAGATTCATCCATACATCCTTTTAGGTGTATCAATACAATAATTTTAGAAGGTAAATTCTTTGGCATTTGCTTACCTTTAAAAATGACAATTGGTAGTGATTTTGTACCATCTGCAAGAACTGTAAGAATACATGTAAACTGATTTTTTCATTCCTAGTTGTTCAAATTTGCACAATTTTAGCATCACGATTTTCTATAGTTAAATTTTCAACCATATCAAAATAAACAGGAGTTTCATTCATGTTTCCAATTTCACAAAGTTCATATTCAAATTGTTTTCATTTTTTAATAATAAACTGCTAAAACTCTAAAAGTTTGTCATTAAGGTGAGCAGGAAGTTTTTGGCTGATTTTTGTTTTACATTGCAGAAAAAATCCATTCCTTTTAAGAAAACCATAAAATCAATGTTTTGAAGCAAGAAAATTTTTACTATTTGGATAATCATGAGCAAACTCTTTTATTAAAATTTCTTTCATATAAATTTTAATCATTTTAGAAGTCACTGCAATACCATCTTTTTGAAATTCTATAAGCTATGTTTTTAAACTAGTTTCAGCTTCGGGATATTGTGCTTTTCTTCCTACGCTAATATGTCGATTTTTTCCTTTTGCTGACTTGAATTTATCTCCCTGTTTTTTCCAACGTAAAATCATTGAATGATCAATAGAAAAATAACATATAGCTGCTCTTTGACCATGATTTTTTGCATATTGCAAAATCTCAAGCTTTTTACTAGCAGAATATGATGACCTTTGAATTTTTGGCATTGTGTGTGAAAAAAATGTATGTAAAATAGGGGTAAAATTGAATTTATATAAATTTATGTAGTACAAAATTTTTTCGAAGCATAAAAAAAAAATTAAAAAAAACTTCTGAATTTAAGCACCATCCCAAACTTTAGTGAAAGTTTTCCCTCAAAAAAGTGGTGCTTAAAATTGAAAGGATACAGTATTACATATAAACATTAAATGAATATACTTTCAATTTACTGATTTTTTGCTATATGCGTGCTTAAATTATGGTCCTTTTTACCCATTTTCTTCTTTTTCCCGGTGGATATAATTTGAAAAGCAAGATTTTTTTATCTTTAAAGATAGTTGGTGATAGTTTTCGCTTTTGTCTTTTAACAGATTAAACTTAATACGGATTTTTGAATACACTTGATGTGTATTATTAGGTATTAAAGATCATAAAGTATCTCAGGATAGATTTAGATTTTGCAGCAACATAACGATCTGCAAATTTATCAAGTGCAATGCATAATTGCAGACTACCAATTAGATAATCTTCTAATATAGTATTAAATACAGAATTATTAATTTCTTCATTTCCTTTATTTGGCTCTCTAAAAGAAGTATGAATTTGGAAATATCATCAAATCGTTTAAATTTGTCAATATTCCCTATTTTTTTTTAAAAGGATATACAAACCTCCACTTGATACCATTATTAGTAAATAAACTATCTGATAATATTGGTTCTTGATCTTGTAAAGCAGGTTTGCTCAATGCTTAAAAGAATTATGTTCAGCAGTATATCCTAAAAAAAGTTATATATTAATATAGGAAGAAAAATTGACATGTGAAGAAGAAAAACATTAAAATTCTTTTTTTTTTAACTTCTCACTTACCAAGTGCAATGTAGCTATACATGATATAATCATTAGCCATTAATGAAATTATCTTTCATGCAAAATGAGTAATAAATATAAAATATAAAAGCTTACAAATATAATTACCTTTCGTTTTGAACATCTATTAAAAAAATTTGAAAAAAATATTTCTATAGAATAAATCAATTCTTTTTTGCTGATGATATATTTGTTGTTAGATTGAAATTAGTGACTGTTTTTAGGTTTATGTTAATAGACGATCATTGAGTAATCACTTGCGACTCTGATTTATTAAAAGTTAAATAATTTTGGTAAAATTTTTATTATTCTAAAAACTAAAATAAAAAGTCTAAATAAATTCCTATTATTTCCATCTGAATCCACCTCCAAATCTTAATACTCCAATACTTCAATTATTCAATTTTTTTTTATCTGATAAATACAAAAAATACAAAATAACTACAAAGAGGTAATTTTATTAGAAATAAAAATTTTATTTCCAGAACCTATAAATGATAAAATAATTTTAGTACTTTTTTATTTCTAAAATAAATGATTCCATACATATAAATAAAAGAAATAATTTTTGTTTTAAAAAAAAAATTAAAAAACAAGATACACATATATGAACATAGTCTGGAACTTACAAAAAGCTGAATATATTTTATCTAAATTTTTTTTAATAAAAAATAAATGGGCTATTTAATAACAAATGACCAAAATAATAATTTAGTGCTCACCTTCATTTGATCTATATATTTATTTACCTGGCAAAATTCGTAAATGAAAAATGTCAAAGCCTTATATTAAGACGATTAATAATAAAACATTTGTCATTTAACAGGATTTTATTATAGTTTCGAGTTTTAACGATTTTTGCATAAAGATTTATTATAGTTTTGCCAGTGACCTTTGAAATCCAGTGTTTTTGCCATATAACTATAGTTTGATCAAAGTTTATAAAATCTGTAAAAATGTAAGTAAATTTTAGTAAATAGATTTTTTTTTCACAATTCAATATATAGTATAATACTTATTTCTGAGCTAAATAACCTCGATTCATATTCTGTTACCTCTTTAGCAGGAAAACCAGTTTGAAAGAGCATGAAATATATTGATTCTTCAATTCTTTGATAAATATTACTTGAATATAGATGGACTGATCTGTATTTTATTTATTAAGATCAGGCCTCTGATGCAATATATACCATCAGATTTTTCACAAGACTTTATTTTCACACTGATTTTCATGTTGTCCTATAAAAAGCAAGTAATATATAAATATAAATATAAATATAAATTACTTTTAGAAAAAATTAATAAGTTTAGCGCGGTATTCATGATTATACATTTTGGATGTTTCTTTAGATATTTTATCAAATTTTTAAAAAAAAAATTTTCTCATTGATTGCATTTATCTTAATGGATTCGCTTATATAGTATTTCTCTTAATCGAATTAATCTTCAGAGCATTCCTATTAATATAGAATAAAATTAACTTAAATTTAACAATTTTTTTTTCTTATAATAAATATTTTACCTTTACATTAATATCAATTCATAGAACATTAGGCATAATAAAGTAAAGTCACTAACTTTGGTTTCAAGTTCAAATAATAATATTGCCATTTTTTTGAGCAATTAATGAGCGTAATAGATATGTTATCATAAAAAGCAAATGCAGTAGAAATAACACAAAGTTAATGAAGTAAGAATTAAAAATATTAAAAATAAAGGCATTAGAAATTTGAAGGAATCGAATCGAAGTATAAGGTGAAAAATGTAAATAAATCATATATAATATTAATATCATAAAAGAATCTTCTTAACTGTTAAAATATTTGCTTTTTTATTACACTGGCAATCATAGTGTGTAAAATATTTAAAAATAAAACCCACACTATTTGAAATTTAAGAAAGTAAATAAAGAAAAATAAATCCACTAACAAAATTTTATTTTAAATTACTGGTTTGAAGAATAGTAAAAAAAAAAAGTATTTTAAATTATACGTTATTTAATCACGTAAAAATGACAATTTAAAAGATTTTAAAAATCAATAATTATTAAGTATTGTCATTGTGGGATAGTGCGTAAGATTTCCTAGCCAGCTATCCTTGAGTACAACTCCCACAATGTGTAATATGTTAGATTGCTATTATGATAACAAGTTTCAATAAGATGAATGATTTACATTCCATGAAAATGAATCCTCTTATAATATGCCGATGGCCAGCATATATGAATAGTTGAATCGTTCTGGTTATAGGGTATTTCCATGTTGAACCAGTTGTAATTATCAACTTTGTGAGGTCTAGGGGGTAGTTGGCTATATCACACCTATATGCCTAATTTCTCCAGAATGTGGGAGTAAGCTTTAACTATCTGGTTCATAACCTTAAGAGCAAGATGTCAGCAGTTATTCCAATATTAACTCAAAATTTTTTATATTATTTTATTTTATTTTTATTTAAATAATTCAACAACTGTTACATATTTTTCTTAATAAAATTTATGATAATACTTTTTATTTTCTTTTGCTGAAATTATACACTCTTTCTCAAAAGCAAATGAAAGAAATTTTCAAAAAAGGTATTTATCAATGAATAAAATGATAAAAAAGAGTATTGAAATTTTTTTTGAAAAAAAGATTTCTTAAAAGAAAGAACAAGTTTCTGTTTCTTTTTATTAATTTTTTTTAAAATAATTTACTATTTCTTTTTTTTTTTTCTGGAACGTTGGAATTTAGTTACTCTTGATTAACCTATATAAATTTAAAATTCTTTTATAATTAATATATGAATCATAAAAGCAAATGAAGTAAAATGAAAATAAATAAAGAAATGTAATTAAATATAGAAAAATTTGAAATATCCAACACCCAACTGTCTCAGTATTTTGCTGTATTTGAAACGATTAACTATAATAAAACTAGGTAATAGAAACTGTTAGAGCATCTAATTTTAGCCGATCATAAATCAATATTATATTTATCACATGATTTTGTAGATCACGTGTGTGGCAGACACCACATGCATAGTTTCAGCTCTACTTTAGATAAAAAGGAAAATTGCTTTAACTAATAATTTTTTAGAACGAATCAAGCCAAAGAAGAATCTAAAAAAAAGTTTCAAGGATATTTAATACCTAAAATCAGTGAATAAAAAAATTGCATCACAAAACAGAGTTGAAAAAAAATAAAACTTAAAAACTGAAGCGGTTTAATAAGCAGAATAAAAAAAATAAAATTATAAATAAAATTTAGTAAAAAAAAAATTTGATAGACAATGAAAAATTTTAACGAAAGGTGTGATCTAATAAACAAAGTAAAATTGCCTATATATTTGATTAAAAATAAAACAAATTGACAAAATTCCTCATCTTTACTTTCAAAATGAAGTCACTAGAAAATATAAGAATAAATACTGTATATTAAAAAAGAAAATCTTGGCAATGATTTTTTTTTTTAGTGATCGATTTTAAAATTGATTGTATAATTTATTTGATTATTGCCAGTAAATAATTGATAACATTGTCTATTAAACTCAGAAGGAAGTATGCATTCACCAAGTGAACTTTAAAAATTCTAAATGATTACCCAGCTTCATATCCTTCTTTTGGTGTATAGTCCTACTCATACCCAAAGCTTCCATGATTTCATCTATATTCTGAGTTTCTGACATACTATAATATGATAAAAGAATTCTTCACTAAATTTTATGGTCTCACCTGTCGCATCTTTTCACACTTGAACCCATTCTGTGAGCTGTATTTTTGTAACATTTTCTGCTGTTTCTCTGGCTACTGTTACTTCAACTGTTATATCTTCAGCTGTTGTTGCTATAACATCTTCAGCAACACCAATTTCAGCAGCAATTTTAGTGGTGGTTTTCACGAACCCTAACCATACTGCGGTAACAGGTAATAAATAATATCTAGCAATAAGAAGACCAATTGAAACAATGGCAATTGCTGCAGGAATTAAAATCTCTTTGAGAAAGTTATTTTGAGGAGGTAGCGGCGGTGGTAGGATTAATTCTTTTAATTATCAGAAGTCATTTTGATACTTAGGTCACCAAGGGCATCATAGAACCCTTGATGGTGTCTCTTCTAATAATTGAATAGCTTGTTTGCTGAATTAATCATGTGATATGTAGCAACACCATAACTATTAGGACTGAATGAGCTGCCTGAACTATACTAAAGAAATGTGACGTATACTTCAACTTCATGACCGGTCAAATAATCGATGCATTCGGCTACATATTTTGTTTGATTAATAGTCCATCTGGGTGAATCTGAGTGTTTACCTTCACTGTAATGCTTTGCAATAAGATCAGGTGGGAATACATGATTTGAGTCAAGTTTGGGTCCCTTGTATGTAATTTTAGAGGTCAGAATAAGGTTCATTGTGTAATTACTTAAATGACATTTGTAGTTATTAAAGTCTTTTATAAGATATGATGAAATTGAAAGATCATCTCTGTTTATTTTCACCGTAAAGCTAAATTTACAATCTTTGGTACATCCTTTTATAGTGACGTTTATAGTTGTTAAGGATGGTTCATGCTTTAAAATTCAAACATTCCTGATAGAAAGGAATGCAGAATAAATAACGCCATCATCGTTGTTAGCTTGGTATCTGTAAACTTAAATGATTAACTTTTAATTCAATTTGTCAAATTAATATAAGATAATTTTACAATTACGCCTATATAAAGACATGACAAAAGGCAATAGTAAATGAATTTAATGATTCCTTTATTGAACTCTTGGTTTATCCTAAAACCTCAACTTGAGTTACTTTTTAACTCAAGGGAAAATATAAGATATTTATATAAAATAAAATAATATAAAATCAATTATAACAAATATAATAAAGAGAATAAATAATATAACTATAATAAATATAATATATAATAAATAGGATATAATTAATAAATATAATAAATATAATTAATTTATCTAATATGTCCACTTGATTAACATTGACAACTTTAGCAACTTTGTCAACTTTGTCAACTATGTTGATCATTTAGATCACATGACTTATTTTTAGC